CTCGTGCAGGTTACCCAGGGGTTTTCCGCATGCTGTGTAAGGTCAGACAGGGGGATCACAACGGGTATGTGAGACGAGGACTTACAAAGAAGATAGGCAGCTTTGCGGAAATACAAAGCCGCAGTATCGTATTCGGACATGGCAACATACAGCCTACCCTTGACATAGGTCGCCCAGGATGTGCTTGCTTGGAAGCGGAGGAAGTCCCATGCAAGGTCGATATTGTTCTTAGCGATGAGGTCGCATTGTATGTAGACAAGAGCATTGGGGTAGGCGACTTCGCCTTGACGAGTCACCCAGGAGAGAATATCGCGGATACCAAGAGATATCGTGTAGCTCTGAGGCAGGCCGACGGCTTGACGGGGCTTAATATCGCTAGCGAACAGATCCTCAAGGATAGTCGCTATCCTCTCACCACCCTTATTCACTGGCGCGTCCTTAACAGAGAACGAGGTGACGGGCATGTCGTCGGTGGCCTTCGCCGGTCTGTCGGAGCACTTGCGGGAATTCGAGCTCAACCAAGACATCATCTCGTATTCCCTCAGGAGGGTTATGATAGCGACAAACAAGTCTGCGGCGTCGAACGTCGAGTCTTCCTCCTGCTGAACTTCACCATCGATGAAAAGGATCATGTACAAGAGGTCTGTCAGAGTCTTTCGCGTAAAGGAAATCGTCTCCTGGACACCGTTGACGATGACCTTGACACCGAAATGGGTGTTGACGAGATCAGAGTCCTTGCCAGGGAAGCCCAGCGGAATCGTGTCCACAATGGTGTAGAAGACTTCATTTGGCAAGCTGAAGATGTTCAGACGCTCATTAACGGCACCAACCAGACCATCGTATGTCTTGTTGGAGATTTGCTCTCCAAAATCACATCGCTCGCGGAACGCCTCCATTCTATCCTGCACAGAGATGGAGGGTTCAGTGAACAGCTCTGCTTCAAGGGCGCCCTGGCATGCCACTTCGAGTTCGGGAGCGAAGCTCCTCCGGAAGCTGGAGGCAACGTTTACAAGGTGAGAGGCATCCTCAAAAAGGCTGCCAATCTCCGAATCCAGGTTCCGGTGCCTCCAGCGATCAACGATTTTAGGTGCTTCCGCGCGAAGCTCTGGGCCGGAGTTATGTAGAATAAGCTCGGTTGCGCTGCATTCACGAATTACAGCACAGCTGTCGGAAAGGACCATCCACGGTGTCTCATAGTAGGTGTCATATGCAAGAGAGACTGGCTCAAACCTTCTCTTGTTGACATCATCCGCAATCTGCCAAAATTGGCGCCACTTCGAGTCTGTATCTGTTCGGTACCGTGTGAAGTCCATCCCATCATCGGCGTACTTGCGAAGAGAGACAGTGGCAGCAACGGTAGAGCAGAGCCTTTCCGCAAGAGGGGCGCTTCTCTTCAGCGTGCCGGGCGACGACAGAGGTCTGAGTGCCTCCTGATAGATAGAAAGGGCAGTCTCAAGGACTTCCGTCGAGTATTTGTTGGGCTGCAAAAGGAATTCGAGCCACTTCTCCGTCGGATCCACCACGTCAGACAAGGCCATAACAGGGGGGTATGCCTGACCGCGGGTGTCCATAACCGTAGACGCCCAGTTGGACTTCCAATCCGTCACCAGAGTTTCGAAGTTGAAATGCAGCGTAAACAGCTGGTACAGGCTGCTGTTTCTCCAGAGAACCCACAGCTCCATGCGCTTTCCTTCCTCAGCAGGCTTGATCTGGAAGTCGGCGATACTCCAGAACATGCTCCCGGTCGAGTCTGGATCCAGAGGCTTCAATGCAGCACCCGGGTATAGATCCTCAATAACAAGCGGCGACGTAAGGCCTCCCTTGACGGCCCAGAACTTGAAGAGCCCGTCTTCAAACGGCGAATAGGTGACGACGTAATAACGGTACGCACCGTCAAGCGCACGCTCCATATTAAAGACCCTGATGAAGGAAGTTTCGGATGGATTCAGCGAGTACAGAGATTCCTCCGACGGTTGCACATCACGGTCCAGTAGGTCCTTCGTAGCGGCCAACTTGTTGGTAGCAAGGTTCCAGATCTTGAGCGTGTGATTCAAGCAGACAGCGAATACATAGGTCTGATCAGTTGTAGTGGCGATAGCGTTTGGCGCGCTCATTTCGAGGGTGCGTCCTTGGTATTTGATTGACGGCTGCGCATGCCATTTGACCAGCCCGCGAATCGACGAGCCCCAAGTTCTCTCGTCGAAGGTCAGGGGAGACCAGTGTGAGCCTGAGACACATCAAGATAGATCAGTATCGCGGTTGTGTGACAAGTGGTGATTTTAAACAAGGATAGTGGGTTTACCATCGTCACCAGACTTCCTGGTCAAGCGCAAAAGCGCGCCATTGTCGAGAGACACGAACAGCTCCAGCGGGCTGCTCGCATGTAGACGGTGTGGATAAGAAAATGTGAGAGGTGCGGGATTGAAAGTCTTGCACCAGTCGGAGATGTTGTTGTCAATTGATGCAGTCCTGCGGAAGAACTCGGGGCGTAGCGTCAAGGTGTGGAGGGTCTTGGAGGTGGTGATCACGAACACGCTCAACGCTTCGTGCTCCTCCAAATCGGCAAAATCAACACCTGAAGGGACAATTCCTTCCTCAAATTCCAAGCGCAGTGTTACATTGTATTCGTGGTGCTCGATACCAGCCTTGGTCAGATCCACGCACTGGATCTCCAAGATCTTGCTGTTATCGACAACCCTCCACAGATAGGTCCGGGGGTAGACATTGCGTTTGCGGAAATAGATCGAACCCTGGCTCGCTAGGTATCGTTTGGAAAACTCGTCTTCGTCCTTCGCGACCGGCTCGTCACGGTTGGGGCTCGAGATGACCGAGAATCGCGCGCGGCTTTGCGTACTTTCTTGGGTCGAGATCGGGATGTTAACGACGGTGTTCGGCGAGTACGGCCGGAGGTCGACCCGGGTATCTTTGTAGATTTTAGCCATGACTTGACTAAGGAACAGACCACACTTCACGATCTGGAGTTAATGGTCAGTTCAAGTCTCCATGGCCGATGGAGGTAATTGGAGGGAGGAGTCGCTGCACGGCGGAGTTGAAGGGCAGAAGCTGAAGCTCTTTCGGCGCTCCAGAAAAAACAGGTCTTGGCGCCGCCCCCAGCAATAAAGCTGCCACCGCCTTGCTGCATCTCCGCAACTACACCAATCGATTCCATGGATAATGCGAATTGACTCTTCCTACAAAGAAATGATATACTAGTCAAATATCGGGAAATTCCCCGAGGCTATTATTATGTACGCAGCCTATACATGCAAGCAAAACAACTATAATCATGAACTCGTAGCCTGAGAATCTATCCGCGCCCTTTTCAGTCATTCTCCAAGTCCTTGGGGCTCGGGTCCCCAATACCATCCTCATTAATAGCGAACAGGCAATCGCTCTCAGGGAGACATGGACTATCATAGATCTTGCAGACCCGAGTCTCACCCCGTCCTTTCTTCAAGCTTAACCGCGTCGTACTTGCATGCGCAATGATGTTACCACCGATTGGCTTCTTTGGATCCGGATTGAACATTGCACTCGGGCCACCATCCACCTGGGCAACGACCTGGTTCGTAATGACAACCGCGATACCAAATTCATCAGCGAGGCGCTGCAGGGTACGCATAAACTTCGCAAGATGTGTTTGTCTCGACGACAGTTCACCACGACCGTTGAAGTCTGTCCGGTACAGAGAAGTGGCAGAATCAACAACAAGGAGCGAGAAACGAGTCTCGCACATCATCTGCGAAGCTTGGTTGAGTAGCTGAAGTTGATGGTCTGAGTTGTACGCACGAGCGTATGCCACATTATCCAGCACCTCTTCTCCCACTAGCCCGTATCGCTGTGCAACCGCCAATAGACGCACTGGTCGGAAGGTACCTTCTGTGTCAATATATAGGCATTTTCCTTCTCCTCCGCCCATGTCAAAAGGCAATTGGCAAGTCACGGCGAGTGTATGACATATTTGACTCTTTCCTGTCCTGAACTCTCCGAATATCTCCGTGATAGAGCCTGTCTCGATGCCACCTCCAAGAAGGGTGTCTAACTGCTTAGAGCCTGTCGTAATTGAGATGAGTTCGTTTCGTCGCGCATGCATTTCTGTCGCGGTAGTAAAGCCCATCGGCACAAGCTTCATAGCTACAAAATTATGGAGTCAGACAAGATCGTCGCGTACGAGTCCCAATACCATAAGAGCAACACTCACCCTCAACCAAGACCTTGGTGGCCTTCTGTTCCGAAATACCCTTGATTTGTTCCAACAAACGTTTTGGCCTATACCATACGCAAGAACGTGGTTGTGAGCAGAGCTGAAATTGGACGATGGCACATAAGCAGACTGGCGAAGGAAAGACGTACGTATATGCAACCGACTCAACGGTGTTGTATCCAGCATCAACAAACAGCTTGATATCCCTACTTGTCAGGCCCGAAACACCCTGTTACGAAAAGCATCAGCCCTCGAACTTAACCTACACATCACTAGTCATATTGATTTGCCGTTTGAAATGCTCACCTCCAGGGAAGAGAGTGGCGTGGGCGCTCCGGGACCTGGAAGCCCATCGTCATACTCATTCTGAGTATCAGCGTCGGCAGTCATCTTTCGCAAAGAATTCAAACTTCTGTAGCGTCAGAATTCTGTGGCTTCTGTAGCTATACTGCAAAGATCTTGGAGGGAATGGGCAATAGATGTAGCCTGTTAACCGCGCACACACGCGTCTAGATCAGTTGCGGTTTCCTGATGTAGTTCAGATTTCAACACTGGATGGATTGCAATACACAATCCAGCTTCCGTGTGCAATAAGGCAAAATTTTCCAGAGACCCGTTGTCTTTTTATTCTATGGTGGCAAATTGCCGTTGTCGCAGCGCGTTATTCAAGTCATGTTGAGATTGTGGACGCGTCCAGGCAGTCGCGACATCACGTGCCCACTGGCATCAGCTTGTTGCCTTGGGTGGGCCATTCACCTACAACTATGAGTACCCTCTATATCTACGTTAATACAGTAAATGCCGGGTCAAGCCTGTGTTATTCAACTTACGAAGCACATACTTGCTCTGTATCACAAAGAAAAGAAAAAAGAAAAAGAACGAAATACATTCTGTCTCCGTTGCATGTCCTGCACGCTTCCAGGCGTGCATTTGTTTCGCGACATAGTTCATCATGGTGAACGAGGCTTATCAATGACTCAATGATATCCAACGATTCGTTTATGGGCCTCTTCAATAGTATTGTTGACATTGATTGTAAGACGGTCAACAGCAGAGGCTGCCTGGAAGGCTGGCAAAACAATCTGGTCTCACACCTCATAGCACGGCAACTGAAAACCCTTGCGACCTCGTCGGTGATGGCGTTCTACGGCCTTCGAGCGTCTCTTGGTTAATGGCTCTTAGTTGATATATTTCGGCTGGGTTTGTCCGGATATTCTCGTCTATGAGTTTGCTGATTCTTCTTCTGAAGCTCTCCGATGAAGTGCGGCGAAGCCCTGTGTATGCTTAGCTTTTCGAGTTCAGGCCAATATACTTCAGGATCTTACCCTCTGGTGTTGATCTTCTTTTGTAGCCATCGAAGGGCTTCTTGACCCAGGAGCTTCGCGCACCAAACCACCTTGAGCGACGCTTGTCTAGATCTGGAGAGCATTCCGGTTCAATACTAATGAGGCCATCCAGCTGTAGAGACTGGTTGGTTGGTGGGAGAGATATGTACTCTGATTGTCCATATTCAATGTCTAGAACCTTGGGGGAGTTGCACTGGTCATAGAGGCTCGGGCTAGGTGCCCGTTGGTATGTCCGCTCAAGGCCTTGGATATCATCTCCTGTCAGTGCCATCAACGTCGGCTTAGGTACCGACGCAACACTTTCAGGTCTACTACCCGAGTGAGTGGTGGACTGTCTCGCAGAACGGCAGTCGGGTGTCCATATTCCTTCTACTTGAATTCCCTTCTCCAAAGCTCTAGCACCAAACGGTATCTCGCTCGGTTCGGCCAGCATGGGTTGCATCTCTGCTTTCTGTCGTGCTTCGGCGGTGGCATACTTCTGTGTCTTTCGCCTGTTGTAGGCTAGGACGATGAATGAGTACACCAGTACCAATGCCTTGACGTGTCAGTAGAATGTATATCAATGTAGTACTGGCCCTTACCAGAAGACCTGCGAGCGCCTAGCCGTTAGGTTAGTGACAATCCTCGTTCTTAAAGCCTTGGGTATGTTACAAAGCTCAGTTTCTGCCAGAGCGCCCAACCAACCCAGAAATGCATGATGCGTTCGGTGAGTAAGAAGACTTTTGATGGGGGATGCAGCCGGTGTAGATGCAGGATAGCAGTGGTCTGAGCTAGACACAGGAAGGCCTCTCCCAGGTGACTGCGCTGGCGTGGGCTGTAACTGTCACAGACACTTCTGTAGGAAGAAGTATGCCGAGGTCGGATCTGCTGCTTTAGTTGTGGGCCCGGGGGGGTATGCTGAACGATGTATGATGCTCGAAAATTGGAGGATGAGAGATGGAAACTACCAGGTAGGGTAGCAGATAACTGGTCCTTCTCTATATGTTTAGTAGCTAAGGAAGGTGCAAGTGCGCTGCAATGGGGGAAAGAAGGTTCATCATCTGTGAGGTGAATGCGACACGGTAACGGTAACAATGATGCCAGCTAGATTCAATAGTGCATTAACGGACAAGGACTTCAAATATTGACCAAGAATAACTAACGTGTCGCATATTCTATATACACTTGAAGGGAAGCGGGTTCCATGCCACAGCACGCTCGAAGAGGTGGCCAGCGAGGTAGATTGGAAGGGGACGACCATACTGAATATATACTGCTGCGGAACCGAAGCCCAACACAACAAGTAGTTGAAAATCATGAGCAACCATCTACATTTGAACATTCAGAAAAGATTCTATAATAATCAAAAACATAGCAAGCAGAGCGACAAAATCATTACCAAAGAAATGAAAAGGGACGGTGGCTCACATATAGAGGCAAAAATAAAACAGCAAAAAGAAGATAATAGTAGTTGCCCAGCCAAAGTGCCAATTTCCCTGTAACGGGACGGTGTAATCTGGCGACGCCATCCCGGGGTGGAAATGTCTCTGCAGAATTGCTTCCCTCAAGGGTCACTTCCATTGCTTAGCGCCTCATAGCATCGTGGATTACTCGCACGAGTACAATGACGACCCCGGGATTCGTACCAGGCACCAGTCCCGCTGGCAATTACCTAAGCAAGGTTATTGACTTGGCGGCTGACCTCCCACCGGACTATCCGTGACAGATATTAAATATTATTATTGTACCTTCCTTATATACTACTTACTGCAACTTGTATTCACTCGATTCTCGCTCATTATATGGGGGAATTGCAGATTTTCGTATTATATATAATTCAATCTAGTGAATACATTATTACATTACCCACTCCTTTAGTCGATGTGAGGTTGTGACAACACGGATACACACTAGTAAGGTTCAAAGTGTCCCCTACGTCTAAGCGTAACTGGCCTGTTACATTGAACAAAAACTGCAATCACCATGGCGTCTAAAGATGCTTTCTTTCATTCCCCCCGCTCTGATATTGATACATGGTTCGTGCAATAGGTGAGACGGTAGGAATTAGAGTTGTGCTCGAAAGAAAGCAACACACATTCAGCGCCACAATAGGTAGACGATGCTGCGATTCCCTCAAGCCATCAACCTGCACACAAAACTTCAATAGAAGCAGCTAGGCCAACAACCTCACACATCTCTAAAGCCCCTGCATCTTCTTCTTCCCAGGAGACCGCCCCAGCGCTTGCATCGACCCGAGCAGCATTCAGCGCTGAGAGAACATCTGCTCCGATTTGGGGCGCATCTGCTGCCACGGCTATCTGTGCACGACCCTTTGGAACAGGTGTGAAAGCGAGAACAGTCCACATTGGACTTACAACCTGCGACACAGAACCCCTGATTGCAAATTTGGCCAAGGTTGCATTGAGAATTGTCGTTGCAGAGAGGGGCGGCTATTCTTTCCGGAGTGGAGTTGCTGATAGCTTTGACATCGGCATTGTAGTCGTCACGAACGTCACGACGCAGAGTAGTAATCAGGCGGCCGTTTCTATCTTCACAGTAGGGTGCGGTAACTTCGCGTCTGATATTTTGGGGGAGAGCAGTGGAAGCGACTACGCCGGCCAAAATGAAAATCGATAGTATCGAAAAAATCAGCGCTGAAAGCTTAGGCATGGTGATAGTTGATAGTACAGTAGGCTGGGGACACATGATGTTAGATCATATACCCAGACTGCGAATTAATTCTGTCGCCATCTCAGACGGGACTCGATTATCTGCCCGTAGCAAAACGTGGAGAGCCTGACCTATACTTTCTCAAGTTATGGTGATATCTAGGTCACCAGGGGAATGATCCAGAGGAATCAAGATGAGGTGTCTCGAAAAGACGATGGGATGAGTGATAATACAATCTAGACGCCCAGTAGATATGGCAGGCACCTCACCGTCTCAGTTATGTTTGGCAAGAGCTTCACGGGTAGGTGCCCTCCAAGGTGTGTATGTTGGCCGCATGCTACTAGGTCGGCAGCGTTCAGAGGCACAACAGTGGAGGCTCTTGCCAATGTTTGATCAGACACAAGCGGCATGAACATAGCTGCCATTGGGATATGTATATGCTGTTTATGTGTCAATTGTCGAAGCAATGAAGATCCAGGAAAGATAGGCCAACCCTCTTCGGGCTAGAGCACAATCGACTCGAACGTCTATCAGCCTGCTAGCCGGGAAGAGATCAATACATACAGAGCGCAATGCACATAGTATGCTGTTCGCAACTTAAGAAGTTTGCATCAATATAGCTAGTCAGAGGTATCTAGATAGAAGCACAGTCGGCAGAGGTTGCATGTGCCCCCTGGCTTGGGAACACAGCCAATGGGATATTGTATCGGATATATTGGCATGTATGAGGATGGGGTTCTGCAAGCCACAACTTCTGACTTATGAAAGTTGACGACGCCACTGCAAGTAAGTATGATCAACAGCGAGCTATGTCGCCTTGCTTGATATGAATGAACGTGAGCTTTCCCAGTGGTATCTTCTTGCAGGTCATGGTCATGCAGATTAGCATGCGGCAAGGGGGAAAGCAGAGCACAAAAAAAACAATCAATGCAATTTAGTAGCCACCACAGAGTTCAAAAGAACTGTGGGGAGTTTGAGGGACAAAGTTAGTAACCATTGAATAGTCAAAGTTAAAGTTTGTAGTCATGTAGTAATAGCACCAAGTAGACTACGTATACGATGGGATTGTTGACGTTACCAAGATAAGGTGATGCTTAGTCAGGTGATGAATAAACCCCCTCAAAAGAAAGAAACATGAATGGGGCACAATGACGCTATTTCGGACACTAGTATGGAACTACAATGCCTGGGATAAAGGGCGATGATGATATGCCCAAGTACCCCGGCCTTGTTTTTGACTAGTGAGAGATCAGAATGCCTGGCTAGTCTGGATAGGTTCGTTGCACACAACTCAGTGGCAAATCAACTGTGTTGAAAACCATTAGTATTTTTTTTTTTCTTCTTCTTCCAATTTTTTCTTTTACCCCTCGCAAAAGTCGGAACGACCCCGTCCAACAGATTGTGATTGCACCGCCAGCGGATGAACCAACCCTTTCATAAATTGAACCGATGCCCGAGACCGCCGATCATGTGAGGTTTGAGCGTTGTACATCCTGGCAAGCAAACTCGCCCGGTTCAGGTCTCGCCATTGTTGCTTGACCACCTCAGCATATTTATTCTCCTGTCAGGGACCCTCCGTTTATTTGCGTCTGCGTGACTGCTTCCCTTCCTTATCATTTCACCATGGCGCCGTTCCGCAACTTCTTGTCCAGGAAGTCCACTGCCCCCAATGGCGGGGAAGTCAGTGCCGCTCCCAACGATAACTCTGCTAGTCATGTCTCACTCGACACTCATGGCTCGAGTCCTTTGAACTTCAGGAAGAGTTCCGAAAATGAGCCACCTGAATATAAACTCAGTGGTATGCCACCTGAGACCCTTTCAATGGATCCTTAATTTACCCCGCTAACTCTATCCTCTTCCCGCCAGTCGTCGACGCCAATGGAATCTACCATCCCGTATGTGAACCAACTACCGTTACAATCACATGGCGGGTCTTATTCGCATGCGGAACAAGTAACTCACATGTCAATAGCCCTCACCTCCAGAGAAACAGGGCTTCTGGCGCAAGTACCCTGGTTCCCCGAGATCCTCGCACCATCGCGATCTCGTAAATGAGAACGAACCCTTCTCGATATCTCGCGAATCATTCGATTCGTATCGCCGATCATTTGTAATCACCCATCCGTACTTGATCTTACTTTCTTGTCGCAAGAGTGACTTACACTGCGCCTCCAGGATATCTCCGCCCGATCCCCCATATGCTATACCGATACGATGCCATCTCGGACATCGCTTGACTCTCGAGTCTCCCATATAACATCAACACCATCTACACTTTACTCCAATCTAAGCAAGCAACCAGAAGCCATGGAAGAAGAGCAATACGAAGAGGTTGCGCTCGACGACGACGAGGTCAAACCAAAGCGGAAGAGCATCTTCTCTCGGTTCGGTGACTTTACAAACGACTCCTCCCAGAACTCCAGTTCCTCTAAATCTTCGACTCTTGGATTTCACATCCCGGGCCGTAAAAGAGGCCCAAGCAACCCGGGCTCAGAACTAGGTATTTTCAAAGCACCGCCGGTTAATGCGGAATCGGAAGTGCATGATGCGTGATACGAACCCAGGGGGTGTGTAACTATATACTGGGTAATTCATAATCTGTAGGCGTCTGGATGGGGATTACCATTGAAGTGTCATTTTTCTTCTTGCTCTGTTTAATCACCCCCGACAGTTGTGCTTGTTGCTTGTCTGATTCATTTGTGTGGGTTTTGGCTTAAATCTAATCGCATTGCGCGCTGTCGGGGCTTTGCATCGGTGACTTTTGATGTTTCTTTAGATTCATCGATAGAGATTCCTGCATGCGAATTTTCTTTTCTTCTAACTGCATTCATAAACACGACTAGATCATCAAATCTATCCAATAAAGAATCAATAAACCAATAAAACCAAACCATCTAATTCACAATAATCCAGACCATCACCCGCGGGAACCCCATTAAATAGATAAGTTATAGACGGACAACCTTCTTATCAGCAAATGCAAACAAAACAAACCCAACCAAATCTCGACCGCCCTGTCCCCCGAAAAAAGCAAAAAACGGTTAGGGAAAAAAAAGTCCATTCTCCGGACCAAAAGAGCAAAGCTAACCCGCGGGCGGCGTACCATTTTATATTTTTTTTTCCCTTCTATCTCATATCCCCGCCAGAGAAGTTTTCATTTTTCTTCTCAAGGGTATAGCCTTTACTTCGTTCGATTTCCAGACATATTCACCATGGTCGGGGTAAAGCGTCGAGTAGACGCCGGTGATGAGCGCAATGGAAAACGGACCAAGACGCCGGTGTCCGTGCCCGCGAAGAAGAGCAAGTCGTCTGCGGCCCCCGTGAAGGCTTCCAAGTCTGTGTTGTCGAAGAAGGGCGATAAGGGTGGAAAGAAGGATAAGAAGACTTCTAGTAAGAAGAAGGCGCAGAAGGAGGAGTCTGAGTCTGAGGATGATGAAGATGATGATGAGGATGATTTTGACCTGGATGATGTTGATGATTCGGAGATTGATGCTTTGGATGATGAGGATGACGAGGAGGAGGATGTTGATATGGAAGATGTTGAGGAGGAAGAAGATACTGGGAAGAAGTCCAAGTCTGCGGATGCGGATGCCCAGCAAAGTATGCTTGATTGATTGATTGAAGTTCCTCTCTGGTGCAAAGGACTGGTACTAATTTGTTGCCTTTGTTCATTTAGATAAGTCTACGTCGCGCGAATCGCATGCGAAGCAAAAGGCCCTCCTGCAAGAGCGCAAGGCCGCCAGACCCAACGCTGATATGATCGGTCGCTCGAAGAAGCTGTGGGAGCAGCTGCGCCGCAAGTCTCATGTTCCGCTCGAGGAGCGGAAGAAGCTCATCAAGGAGCTTTTTGAAATCATTACTGGACGTGTGAAGGACTTTGTCTTCAAGCATGACTCGGTCCGCGTCATCCAGACGGCCCTCAAATACGCCAACATGGAGCAACGGAAGATGATCGCCACGGAACTGAAGGGTAGCTATAACGAGCTTGCGCAGAGCCGGTATGCCAAGTTCCTGGTCGGAAAGTTGATTGTTCACGGTGATGCTGAGGTTCGTGACTTGATCGTGCCTGAGTTCTACGGACATGTCAAGAGACTCATCAGACACCCCGAGGGGTCCTGGATTCTCGACGATATCTACCGCACCGTTGCGACGAAGGAACAGAAGGCGAACCTCCTGCGTGAGTGGTACGGTCCGGAATTCGTCATCTTCAGGGATAACAAGAACGGCCCGCCCGATGCGGACCTCTCTAAGATCCTCGAGGCGCACCCGGAGAAGAGGGGCCCCATCATGCACTACCTCTGGGAGCTTGTCAACCAGCTGGTGCAGAAGCGCAACTCTGGTTTCACCATCCTGCACGACGCCATGCTGCAGTACTACCTTAACACTAAGCCGGGCAGCTCCGAGGCTAACGAGTTTGTTGAGCTGCTGAAGGGCGATGAAGAGGGAGACCTGGTCAAGAACTTGGCTTTCACCAAGTCCGGTGCCCGGGTGATGTCGTTGAGTCTGGCGTACTCCAACGCCAAGGACCGCAAGCTCCTTACCCGTTTCTACAGAGATACTATCAAGATGATGGCCGGCGATCTCCACGGACATTTGGTTCTGTTGACCGCGTACGAAGTTATTGATGATACCAAGCTTACCTCGAAGTTGGTCTTCCCCGAACTCCTGAACCAGGGAATGGATGCCGAGGCTCGGAACGAAGAGCTGCTCTTCCAAGTGAACGACTTGACAGCGCGTATCCCCATCCTGTATCCGTTTGTCGGCGACAGGGTCAAGTGGCTTCTGCCTGACGGCGACCATGAGTTGCTCAAGGAGGTTCGCGAAATCCGCAAGGAGACCTCCAAGAAGGACCCCGAGCTTCGACGACAGGAGCTGGTCAAGGCTGCGTCGGCGAACGTGCTCGAGCTCATTGCCGCACGTGCCGACTCTCTCCTCGAGACGAGCTTCGGATGCCAATTCATCTCCGAGGTGCTGTTCGACGCCGATGGAGACAAGAGCGCCGCTTTGGCCGCCGTGGCCGAGGCCGCCAAATCCAGAGCCGACACCAAGGACTCTCCGTTCGTGGGCCGGTTGCTCAAG